GAGTTTCCAAGCGATACGAGGTGAACCACAGGTTGTCAATGCAGATATGCGGGTAATGTTGTTTGGTTTATGGATGCGAGGCTTTACAATTCACAAAATAATTACACAAAGATCTGCGTGGACGGTGATGAAGGCCCATTTGGGTTTTGCGAAAGACGGTGCGAGAGAACATGCTTTCAAAACCAAAGGAATATAACTTGAAATCAGGACCTGTGCCAACGCCACGGTGATATGAATGTATATGTATGTATGATTAAATGTAATGTATGACGTAGCGAAATATTCTTCTGCATGAAGTTTGAGGAAGACAATACAGCTGAATAAAGCGGATTCACATCCAGAAATAAAAGTAACTGGGCTCATATCCCGGAGTGTAGTTTCCTATTAAACTAGGGGGGGGGGGGGGCAGCGCTTCCCCCAACGTTTTGAAAAATGTGGGCTAGCTCATGTCATCTGGAACGTGATGGCCTAGAATGTCATGAACTCATCCGCCTTTCATGTCTGCACTCAAAACATCTTCAAAAGTGACGACAGGGGCGAACCCAGGAAGGATAAAAGGGAACAGTGGCATTGCAGCACACGAAGATGGCGGCCACCAGCAGCAGGCCGGCAGCTGACGGCTACGGCAACGTGACCAATCACGTGTCCCTCCCGCACTGTTTGGAAAACTGAACACGACTCTGATACCTATTCATGCATAATATGTGGGCGCAGTACTTAATTTACAACACATAACAGCATTGTGGCTGACAAAAAGATTTCCTTATCACTCAGCCTTCCCTTTAAATCGCTCCAAAATAAATCGCCTATGCCCCAGCTTTGGGTTTTACTTGTTTTTTTTATAAAAGCAAAATGTGATGCCATTTGCTGTGACACACTCATTGAAAAGCAATTAAGACAATTTGTGTTACCACCATGCTTACGTCTCCTGGATACGTCCATGAACATTCAAGTTCCATGAATATTCAAGTTCAATCAAGAAATTGTTACCAACGAACCGGCATCGGGTGGGTCACAATTGGTTGATAGGCGTGAAAACTATCGGACAGAAAATGCCTAAAACTTATTTTTGCACATCTGTCGGCCCTTACTAGAAATCTTTGGATAGTAGGTTTTTTACAAACGTGGATCTCGTCAAGAGATGACGTGCGGGTTTATCTCAAAATCGTCCTAACAGTGCCTGACATCTCAGGAGAAGGCGGAAGGCCCTCCCCCCCACCCCCACCCCACCCCCTCCGTCGCCCGGATTGAGGATGGCGAGGAACCCGACCGGAACAGGGTTTAGTCATCCTCTAGTTCGGGGGTACTTCATAGCCAGTAGTCTAATAATGTTGTGCTTGATTACTCCCAAATCATTTTTGTGGCCTTTAAGCAGTTTATTTTCAGTTTTAGTTTATTTGGAGCTGGTATACTAATGTTTTGTAAGCATTCGTCCTGTTCAACATTGCGAGGAAGATGTTAGGACTTACACAAATATTTTGGGTTGGCATTGGTCGCTGTGAGTTGAGCTTTTCCTATGCATCCATTCGCATAACCTCATCTTGTTCGATTTGGCACCAGTGTGTTATACTCGACATTGTTTTCGAGAGACGAGGCATTGGTCGTTGCCCGGCCAATTGATGTATTATATTGTGCTGCACTTCATAAGGTCATTCCGCATTATTGGGCTATTTCCGGACCTTCGTTAACAGGTATATCGGCAATCACGAGGTGCAAGCATAACACGGCGCGAAGGGACATAGACAAAAGGTTAAAAATGTCAGGTACTTTCAATAATGTCATGGGCACGGGTCTCGAAAGTAGAAAAAGGCAAGTTCACAATGTCGCTGCCGATGACAGGCTCGTTGCAAATACGTACAGCTCGGTGTGGTTCTGGCGTTGCGTCCGGCGTCTGGGGGTTAGCGTCGTTATGGATCTAACTGTCGTTGACCGAGCTTTGGTTGTGTGCGTGATTTTTGTGGAGAGTACATGCACCTAGCCTTAAAAGACGGGCGCCTCTAAATTTAGGTAGAAGGGCACCCGGAAGCGCACGTGGAGGAGCACCGCAATCCAAAGTAGAGTCGTGCGCCAAGTCTGCAGGCAAATGGGATACCCCAAGCTCAACTGCAGGTACCCCAAGCCCCACAAAAGTGGCACACCCGAATCCCGGTAGATCGACGCCCGGAAAGGAAGACAGAGGAGCACCCCAGACGTCATGAGAAGCGCGTCCACTGTTCAAAGCGGGCAAACGCCAACAAACCCAGGTGGAGAGCAAGTAAAGGTACCATCAAGCCCAGGCGAATGGGATTAAAGACCATGCATGTTAACGGTTACACTAAACCTGGTAAGCCTTCGTGGTCCTCAAACAGATAGGAAGCCCCACGGCAGTGCATAGGGTCTCACCGAATTCAAATACAGAGGCGCTTCAACGTGAGCGGCAAGGTCAAGGTTAAGATTAGGCACGACAGCAGCATGGGAAGGGGCACTGGTAAACTTCGTGTAGGCGGTGCCCCAGGTCTGGGTAGAGGTGCAGTCCACAAACAAAACATAAACACAGAAGAGCGATCCAAGGCAGGTAAAAGAGGCATCCCAAGCTCAGCCAGCGGAGCCCTTTTAAGCCCGTTGAGTGGCGCTCAAGCCTGATCATTTGGTTATTTGATAAACGAATGTCACAATATCTATTAACAAATGTGACCGGAACGCCCCACGGCTTAACGGTAGATGGAGGGATGCCCCAAAGATCAGGCGAAGGGACCCTTTGAAGCAAAAAAGTTGAAGAGAGGAGTGAGTAGCGAAGAACAGGCGGGTAAAGCAGTGACCAAGAGGATGGTGTAGAGGTAAGAAGGAAAGGATGAAGTATTCAGCCCATGTAGAGGGGAGCTCCGCTCGTAGGAAGAACGCAGAGAAGTGTATTTCCTCATTAAGCTTTAGGAAAATTGCCGTGGAGGGCCGAAACATCGGAGCCCTCCAACCAGGGGAAAAGGAGTATCGATTTAACGGGTTGGGTACCCGAAGCAAAATAAGCGGACATCGGAGTGTTTATGTTTGGAAATACATGGACTCGACATGCACAGCGGTCGTGTGTGTCAGCAACAAGACGTCTCTATTAGCGGATAATTGCTGCTTAGAATGGCCCAACACGGCGACAAGCCACGTGGCCGTGTTGGGCCATGGGTGGGTGTTTATTATATGGGTGTTTATTATAGATCTCTGTGTAATCGTACGAATGAGCGGATAGCGGCCTTTTCTGTTCTGCTGTTGTGAATGAGGACTTCGTGCAATGAAGAACAAAGAAGCATTAAGAAATTGTCCAGACTGAACTATTTCAAACGAGACCTTATGGAAGGAAAGTTATGAAACTTTGAGAAATGAGTCCGCTCGAACGATTTCCAACGAACAGAAAGACGTCTAACAATGCCAATTTAAGAACGGAAAGCTGTTCATGCATGCTTCATTTGCTATGGGCAGAATTCGGACGAAATGCAGGCAACTGAAAACGATTATTTAAAACATTATTGACGTCCTGAATCGAATTGGGCGGGATTTAATATTGCGAAAGGGTCGGAGCGTAGGCGGATTAGTGTTTACAAAAACGTAGTATTGAACTGGTTTTGATTTTCGGCATTCATTATTTTAAAATCCGGCATCATTATATGAAAATATTTTCCTATGGATGGACTTATGCGGTCAACATCCAGGCCAGACGCAAATATTTTAGCTTTAGAGGAGCCAACGATCGGCGTTACATCAAGGCAATGCAGCCTCGATGCTATACAGCTCGTAACTTGATATCATGCTGTCAACACCAACAGCTTAAGAACAGGAGACCTACTGTCGGCAGCAACGGCGAACTTACCGTTGAAGCTGTCTGCAATGCGTGCTCTGAGGCGATAACCCATGACTACGCCGAGCATGTAGATCATTATGCCTGGTTCTCGCTCATGTTTACAATTCTGTGCACGATGAAAACGGGGGGGGGGCGGTTTTGAAGCAATTAGTTGACTTGATTGGCAAAATCTGTTTTGTTTTCATCGTCCAAGCCAGCTTTAATCCTCCCGTAGCTCGAGGAGGTAAGTGGGGTGTTTTGATTAGCGAGTAGCCAACAAGCAACCAAACAGGAATCTTTGAATGGTGCCCCCAAAAACGCAAGGACCCTGCCATTACCATTGCCATTTAAATATATATATATATATATATATATATATATATATATATATATATATATATATATATATTCCATTCGGGCCACCTGAACACATATTCTAGGCCTGCGCGACTGCGCAGACGCCGTTCTTGTTTGATGCTGAGACCAAAATTTCCCAACCTACTCAATTAACACTTAAAACGGCATTGTAGTATAAATGCACACTGCAACATGCACCAGGGAAATACGAAGTGAACATTGAATCATGCGGCTCACCATTGAGGCCAACATGAAATTATTGTAGGGCGCTAGACACAATGCAGGGATCTCTCTGATATCCACCAGTATCGACATTAGGAGTAACAGAAGAACGCTTTGACTTTTTCAGAACAAACTGAAAACTATGATTCTGAAAAGAAGTTTGTGAGCGCCTGCAAATTTAAACCGACAAAGTACTGAGTTTTCCGCGTCGCCCTCGGCAGCAACGCTATGAGCTACAACGCTCTCGTGATCGGAGTAGAACAATCGCGCACATGCTTTCCGTAGTACCCACCTATGTCCAAAACTGTGCGGAATTGCTACGGTGTAGACAGGGAACTCCGGAAAAAGACAAACACCTACCAAAGGAGTCTGATAATAGGTCTTCGCAAGGCCCACACTAGGTAGAACAAAATATTTGTTAGGCCCAATCCCGTCAAACACAACTACACATACACATGCTCACGACAAACCGAACCGTGCTCACTCACAGAGCGCTCAGCAAAAACGGCTTCACATCACCCAGCCAACATGCCTCCTTCACATCTCCCCGTTTCCTATACTCTCACATCATCTGGTTATACCATGCCCGGCGCCGCCGCTACTCGCCACTCCTCACCGATCAGCGCCAGTCGCGTGCGCCCTCCTCCTCGACGCTGCTCCTGCACTGCGTCGACGTCGTCGCGTCGGCCGGCCGTCGCGGGCGGCGCACGCGCGACCCGACGCGCGTCGAACAGGTGGACACCGCCGCCGACGGACGCCGACGGTGGCCGCTCCAGCCACGTGACTGGGCGGCCGCGCGCCGCCGGCAACGGAGATACCGCCCGCTTCCGACCCGGCGCCCGACTGCAGGCAGGCGGGACGAGACGAGACGGGACGGACGGGCGAGACGCTCCGGCGGACGGCGGCCACATTTCCTGTAGCCTTGCAACCGCAGGCCGGACTGCCGAGAGCGCGTGCCCGAGGGGCGGGGGCCGTGGGAGGTCAGCGGGTCAGCTGCGACCCACGCGGCGCAGGGGCTCGGGTGACTGCGGCGCATACGCGGCACGGCGGCCCCACGCCGACGCGACAGTGGTTTACGGGCGCGCCGCACGAACTAGGGTGAATTGTGGAGGCATGCGTGGATTTGATGTCTAACCGGCATGGAAAACACTGTCTGCAACGGATCTAGGTCGCCTAAAACACTGGCAGTTTGAAGTTCTGTTGACGCGCGTGGAAGAAGGGTGGGGCGGAAACATTCATCATTTTGTTATTTAGACCAGTGGGATTCAAATAACCTTCTTGGTAAACTGTTCCATGCGTAGGGACGTGCGCACGTAGCAACGCCGAATGGTACGTGTCCCTGCCCCTTTATCAAAGCTATGGAATATATTACCACACGCGAGGCTAAACGTTGAGTTAAAAAATGCAGATGGTCACGTAAAAATTAGACGATCGCGAACACGTGATTCCGCTTATGACACGCAAGAAGCAGCGCGCTAAACTCGGTTTTTGAAGATAACTTTTTATTGCGCTCCCGCCTCTTCTCGCATAGTGAAATTCTGTGTACGCCCCCGTGCATCATATTCATTGCCATCATGTTTATTAAACAACGCATGCCATGACACGTGAACATAAGTCACGAAGGCGCAAGGCAAATGCGTAAATCGAGGCACCTTGTCCGAAGCAGAGAGAAATGCTAGACTGCGTCCGCCAGCACGGTACAGCTGGCTCAGCTCTCGATTCGGCTGGATGGTCCGTCCAGCACATGCCTCACCGGGGATGTCTCTTCTGTATGGTATGGCAAGGGGACCACGACAACCTGGCGACAACCTAGTCGACAGATCGTCTAGAATTGAGCAGGAATTTCGGAAACATGGGACCACCATCGCACCATCAGCACCATCTGAGATCTGCACCAGCCTGGGGTGGCTGCTGCCCGAGCGGCCGGCGCGCGTCGTGCAGCGCGCGGTGACCTGCCGGCAGGTGACCCGCCACCGGCAGAGGCGGCGTCAGACGCGCGGCAGCGGTCGGCACGGCGAGGACGCCGCCCGCGCGCAGGGGCAGCTGTGCGGCAGGTCGGAGACGGCCCTGTGGCCACCGACGAGGGCGGCGTCAACCACCTGGTGGCCCAGCAGGCCCAGCGTACAGGTGGCGTCAGCCAACTGTACGGCACAGCAGACAGCACAGGGCGCCGCGTCCAACGCTCACGGTGCGCCCAATCGCCAATTGATGTGTACGCAGCGTCAGGTTATGTCTCGGGTTCAGCAGTGTGCTCCCGAGTCTAGGCACTGGTAAACACGAGTCCCGCTAAGGGTGTGCCTTTGCTAGCAAAAGCGGCACCACCAGCCTTGCTTAGCGGTTGTCCCAGTAGCCAGCTCGGTGCGCGACGTGGTGACCGACAGCATGAACTGCTTCCCTCCCTCCCAGCGTGGCGAATTTGGAGACTAAATGTCGAATACGGCGCATACGGGTGGGCCTGGCAGAAATTCCCACGCCCATCACCCCCGGGAGCTCTAGTCTCTCACGCACTTCGAGGATCTCGCACAATGTTGTTTGTCTACACTCATTCAGTTACGACAGTGAACACCGTCTTGAAGCATTGAGCATTGTCCTATTGCATCCCAAACATGGACTGATATCGTCGTTTAACCAGCACCTTCTGGTACATTGAAATCGGTAGTCTTCAGCGGTTTCCAGATGAAAGGCCGAATGCAAAAGCCGGACAGAAAAAGTCGAAAGTACATATGGTCGAACGGTGTCGGAGTCGAATGGAAAAAGATTGAAAGACAGAAAGTCGAAGCGGATAAAAATTGACAGAGATAACCATCAAGTGGAAAAGGCAACAGGAATTATATTTGGCAAGGATAATAGTTATCAGAAAATATTCGCGACGCATAAATACCGGTGGTGATAAAATATTAAAACACCCACCAAATGACAGACAGCCGACAGACGTAAAGTTCTAATTGGAAACGTGACAAGCGATAAAAGTCGGCAGGAACAAATGTCGAATAACAAAATGATTTAACGAAGGTGAATCTGGCAGAGATAAACGTCGATTCATGACAGCAAGCAAGCAGGCAGTCGACAGGATTAAGAACAGGAGAGATTGCATGAAAGGGAATGTTGCCGACTGCACTCGGATGTACTAACGGATGCAGTGGACTTCACTGCATCGCATTCCAGGGCTTGGGTCGCATCCATTTAATTTGGGCCCGCCCGCGCTCGTTCGGCGAACGCTGCTGGCAGGACGCCAGCATTCGAGTCTTTGCGACCGAACGGAACGCACCCTAGGGCTATCAGGTGCTCGATCTGCCATGGGTGGGAGTGTCCCGCCGATGCTCAGAAAAATTTCCGCTGGAATATCGTCTGGACATTCGCGAACAACCCAAGCACCCGAAGAGGCGCACGTGGCGGCCCCTGTCGGTAGTAGTTTTCCGGTAACCCTGGTGTTGGACAGACGCGTGCTTCCTGGTTCTCTCCCTGCTCCCACTGTTGCTTCCTGGTTCGAATATACCCGTTCTAAAAACATGACCCTGGACCATTGCCTCGGCCTGATATTTCACAAACACCATCCCCTGGCTCCTGGATCGCACCGCTTGTTTGGCAAACACAGTACTGTTCTCACTGTCCCCACCGTTTCTTTTGCAAGTACAAATATGGGTTGCTAGCTCCCACCGGCTCCCTCACCAACACCACAACCGAGTTATTGGATGCACGCCGGCTTTCAACAACACCAGACCCTGGTTCCCAAGTCATCAGTTGCTTTACAAACACCGGCCCCAGGTTCATGGTTCCCACAGGTGTTTCAGTTTTCACTGCCAAATGACTCAATCTGCGATCCGTCAGCTTTTGTACCACTCAACTTTTTTGCGATTCAAGTTTTAGTCCTGCCGGCTTCTTGTAATTCGACTTTCCTGATTCGGCTTTCTCATCGTCGACTTATATCTCTTTGAACTTGTCCTTCGACTCCTTCCAATTTGACCCTCATCCTTGTCAACTTATTGTTCGACTATTTCCTTTTCGACTTTTTGTTCAGACATCATCTCAAGCACAAAGACTCATACACCTTATTCTATTCAGGGTAGTTTTCAGAAACATGGCATTTCGTTCTTTACCCTTGGTCGGATTGACCTAATTTGTTTTCATTAAGTTAATGCATGCATTTACATGGATGATACAGAACGAAGACACGTCGATGACTAAAGCCAGAAACAACGATGCACATCCACCAATAGAAGAACATCACACATCAGTGGTGGCAAACGTAGGAGCCATACATCGAATCAGTCTGTAGTCTGGATAATAAAAAGGCGCACGAAAAAAAATCGCCCACCCGCCCCACGTTCCTATACGCCGGCGCAAGTCCGCGATATCACACATGCGTTAATGACAAGCCTACCGCGCGCTTCCTGTGGCGAACGTTCCGATGACCCCCGTTACCATCGGCGTTCCCTCCGAGCGAAGCGTTCGCTTCATGGGTCCGTGTGTGCTTGGCAAGCCCCCCTTTCCCACGGCACACCAGTCCGCACACCTGACACTTGAACTCCCCCCGTCCGCCCCTGTGGACCTCGGCATGGTCGGCCAAGGCCCGCCGAGTGCAAAACGGCCTTGCGCACTTGCGGCACTTGTGCAGCGCCTCATTGGCGGCGGCCCGCTGCAGGTGGCTGTCCAGCAACGTGCTGCTGGTGAACTTGGTGCCGCACTTGTCACACGCCCAGCGCTTCGGCCTAGTCTTGTGCGCGCGGACGTGCATGGCGAGCCTCTTCCCGTCGGCGAAGCTCATGCCGCAGATGCCGCACTGCACCTTCTGGTCGCCATGGGACAAGCTGTGTGCTTCCATGTTGCTGCGGAACTTAAACGCCAGTCCGCAGAGCGAGCACTCGAACGGCTTGGTGCCCCTGTGTATCAGCACGTGATGCGCCAGCTGGCGCTGGTCGGCGCACGCCTTCCCGCACTTGACGCACGTAAAGGGCGTCTGGCGCACGTGGCGTCGCACGTGGCCGGTCAGCCCGCCGGCTCTCGCGAACGACGCCGCGCACCCGCCGCAGTGAAGCCGCGCGCGGCCCAGGTGCGCCCAGTAGTGATCGTACAGGCCGCTTCGATCCGCGAACGACCGCCCGCAGCCCTCGCACGTGAACGCCGTCTCGCCGCTGGCCACGCGCACGTGGCGGTCCAGGCCAACAGACCGCGGGAACTCCTCGCCGCACGCCAAGCAGACTGCGCGGGAGCTCGCCTCGCGGGGGCCCGTCTCGAGGGAGCCCGCCTCGCGAGAGCACGCCTCGCTGGCCAACCGGGCGTCACGGTGCTGCTGCACGTGGCGCTCCAGCGCGCCCACGTCCCCCAGCCTCTTCCCGCAGATGACGCACAGCGCCTTATTCACGGTGGTGCGTGTGCCGAAGTGCCGCCGCAGGTCTTGGAGGGTCGGGAACAGCCACAGGCAGGGCGCGCAGCCGTACGGCGTCTCCCAGTAGTGTCTCCGGATGTGAGCGGCTAGCGGTTTGCGGTCGAAGTGTTTCATCCCGCATATATTGCACGCGTGCGATGCCCCGTACACTCCTGCAGCCCGCTTTGGAATCGGACATCTCAGGCTGTCTTCATCACCCATATCTTTGATGCTCAACGAGCGCATGCTTGGATCCGGAAGAGCCGGGGCGCCCTCGATCGGACCCCTCAGAATGTTTAACGACTCCTCACAGCACTCGCACTGGTGGGAGTAGTCCGCGCCAGTGCCCGTATCGGTGCGGCACATCTCACAGCTCGCAGCCCTGGCAGCCATGTGGGCGCGCACGTGCTTCACCCGGTGGATCCCGCGGCTGAACGTCTGTCCACAAACGGTCTCGCTCGGCTTTCCCGGGTGGATCAGGGCGTGGACGTCCCGACAAACTCGTCTCTGGAACACCCTGCCGCACTCGCCGCACGTGAACGGCCCCCGCTCGCTCTGGTTCGAGCACTGCGGACAGGGGTGCCCTGAACGGATGACGGACGTCTTGTCCCACATGCACACGAATGTCTTGCCCTCAGCGACACAGGCGGGTTCGTGTTTGACGGTGTCCACCAGCGGCGCTTGCTCGGATTTCGCGTGGACCAGGGGGTCCCGGTCCGACGTCAAACCACCTGAAACAGACCCCAAGTCAGCGTCGTGGCTTGCGGGCCCTCCGAGCCCTTTTGCCCGTCAGTGCCAACTCCATCGCCTCAGTAAGCGACAGTGTAATCCACCGGAGACACGCTTCTCACTGGCGTGCGCAGATGTGACTGGGCAACGCCTACCCAAAATAGGTACACACCAGGCATGGCCGATACAAGAGCCACCACAATGAACGTGATTCTATTTCCTTCCCATATAGCCCCCGAGTGACCACCCTAGAGCTGGCAACAGGGCTTAACAAACGCTCGACAAAAGAGACAACTTAGAGCTCAACAAAACAAACCAAATACCACATGACTGGCGGGCAGAACAGCGGCCTCACCGAGCATACCTTCCGCACAAGAGTCCTCATCCTCCGACGGCTCAATTTTCACCGATATAGACGGCTCAGGCCATTCACACTTCATATTTGCTGGTTCCTCTGTGAATCAAACAGTGGTTACGGAAATGAAGCTGCCAGTTTCCATGTCTCACACCGCTACACCGCTGCAAATGGGGCGTAAAAGACTGGATTATCAGATAGGCAGCTGGCGAATATGCAAAACAGAACGACTGGATCAAAAAACTTTCCAAACAATGGTACACAAATGCCCGCAATAGTCCCTGACCAGCAATTCGGCAATGCTCCAGCAAGATCTCTATCGGAGTAAAATCGAAGAACCGCACATCGCTTAACGTTTTCTTTTAGTTCTGGGTCATTTTGGAGCGCACCTGCAACAAAAACACGACGACGCAGACTTTACTGAGGTTAAGTTTTTAAAAGACACCATTCCCTGAAAACGTTAACGGCTAAAACTAAAATCAAAACGATTAAAACATAACAGAAACGTACACACAGCCCAAGACGCCAGCAGTAATGCATCGGAGGCAATGCAGCCAGCATATCTGTAATGCACGGCGAAAGAAGGTTTGAAGTGTTCGGCGCCGTCGTTAAGTACCACGTAACACCCAACAAGTTCGCAACCTTGAGCACTCTCTCGCTTTCACGCGATGCTATCTGGGGAATTCCGGGCGGAGAAAGCGTTCTGCCGTTTCTTTCTGGATGTTTCTTCGCGTGCCGTGATATGCTCATGGAACCCACCCAATATCCTTCGTTCAATACGACGAATATTACCTGATATCGTCGTAAACGTCACAACGTCACGTCGTAAACGGCACGAGGAAGCATATGGCATAAGCACATGTCAGCAAAGTACACTAACCGGCAGTCTCCGAGACGGAGGCGACATCGCGGTCGGGCCAATCTGTTGCCAATGGGTCCGCGGGCTCAGATTTGATTGCGAGAGGGTCATCTGAAATTCAGATCATATTTACTCTGGTCACAGACTGCGGTCCTGTCGGCCATTTCACGCGGTCGCTTGCCGATGAAAACACAGCACAGAAACATGGAAAAATCACACCCGATCTCCAAATGCATTAAGATCACTACGTATCCCGCAACCTGAGATAGTGACGACCTGCTTCTCTGATAAACGAGCGGTAAACTTGTCAAGCAGGAAAAAAACGCCGCATTTCAATCAACTCTCATCAACCATTCCCGTCACGTCTGTACTCTGTCGTAACGATTTCGTTCGAGCTCTGAAACTGGGTTTCAAAACTAGGTTTGCCCTGTAGCCTTCAGTGGTTCTTTAAGCTGCGCATGGTGCATACTCACCCATACATCAGCTAGATTTCTTACTAAATTACGTCTGTATCACCTTTTCGAATCTTTTAAAACTTAGTTCTTAATGTCCAAAAGAAAGATGCACAACAATACAAATGCATTTAGCACTATTATGTTCCAAACGCATCGAACCCTTCCCCCCCCCCCCCCCCCCATTTACGCCACACCACATTATTCACTGCGAACACTTATGGGTGAAAAGGTGGATCTCATCGGGTTTCCTTTCCACTCGAAAGTTCGAAGAAATAGTTCAGGTCAAAGCAAAAGTGCCGCAGATTTCCATGGCAACATAACATGGAGAGGCAAAGCACGTTTCGTCCACACCAGGCAATGTAACCAGGAATGTGCAAAACTATACGTTAGGATACATTTCAAGAGCAGAAAAGTCTTTCGCTGGGCTTTGAAATAACTGACCAGGAAGTACGAAGTCCGGCATATCCTCGAAACGTTCCTGGGAGACCGACTCGCAGTATTCGGTTTTCAGTCTGGGATGGCCTTCAGCTGAGAATGAGACTGAAAGAGGGGAACATTTTAACGGCGTTGTAAGAGAGCCAAAAAAGTAAATGCAAAACACATCACACTCAACCCGGATTATTGCAGCGACATATGTAACCATAACTGACTTGCCCTTGCATGCATCACACACACACGCACGCACGCACGCACGCACGCACGCACGCACGCACGCACGCACGCACGCACGCACGCACATACACACACACAACTTGCATGCCAGGCTGAAGACATGCCTTGCACTGAGCATGTATGACATGGTAAAATTAGGCCAACAATGTCAGCACATCTAGCTATATGTCTCAATACTAAAGCTGGATGCTGCAATGATAATTCAGGGCAAACATTCCCATTTGAAGCTTTGTAACAATATTCTGAGCTCACTTTGGCACACCTCCACACATGCACCAGGTGTGCACAACACACACATGCACACACACATCAATGCCATTTAGGCCTCTGACAAAGTGGTTGGTCTGATGGTAGACTTCATCACTGACTGGAAAAGTCCAGTCCACTTAACAATGTCTTGAAACAGACATCATCCCAAACACTCTGAACTAGCAGTGCCCACCCCTCACCACAGCCCCCATCACCTGTATCATCCATATCAGCATCAGCTGGCTCATTGTTGTCAGTATGTTCATCAGAGAAATCAGCATGTCTATCACTGCCTTTGATGTCCCATGCCATGGGCACAGCACCCTCATTGCTGGCTTGGGTAGAAGCAGTAGGACTGTCAGCTTTAATGATCTGTGAAAAAGATTGCTTTTATAGATGTCTTGCTCAACATGCCACACATATGCATGCAGGAAACTTTCAGATTAAAAATGCTAGTATGAACAATACATCAGAATTGGCACAATGGAATACATACTGATTTTTTCTTTCTCTTGGAAAAACACAAAATGGGTAACAAATTCAACCTCTGTGTGTACTTTCTAACAATGTACATCCAGTGTTCAGGAAGCATCCATAGTACCTTTCCAGAGGCAGAGGAGGCAAGAGGACCTGTTGTGTGTTTATGGTTTGATGGTGACAATTTCATGTCAAAATATTATATCAACAATATACCAATAGCCCTGTTTTATAATGTGGGGGTACAAAATTGGTTTCACCTCTTACTGTTAGTCAGGATAAGTAGGTTGCACATGTAAGGCAGCCAATGTCAGCTACAGTATCAGTATGAAAAGGATCAGTAGAAGCAGTGGGTGGTAGCCAGTAGGTACTTCAGTTGGTGGTGATCAATGTTTCCATTCTAGCATGAGATAATGGAACATACTAGACCCACATGATCTTCAACAGCATGTTCCACTAAGGGTATTTGTTGTTTCCTCAGAGGCAAGTGTTGCTGTTGCAGCTGTGAGTCCTGACATTCAAACTTGCTTGGGATGGCTCCTTTCTTGAGATTCAGCCTTTGAGTCAGTCCCATCAGCTGGATCATCATGAGATTTGAGTAGTCCTCTTCCTGAAATGTGAAATATGATGTTAACATATTTGCAGTCATCCTTCTCATATGCCATGTGGATATAAAGGCCTGATCATTACAGGAGTTTCAGAATGTATGACAATCAAATTACAGTGCAGCAACAGATAGATAGTCACCAGGGGCTGATATTTTCATATCTATTTATGTCCTGCACCATAACACAATGCCTCTTGTGAATGTAATGGTTATTTTAGGTCATCTTGTGCAACATGTTGTCACCAATTCTTCATTGTCCCATGTTATGATGTCTGATCCCCACAGCTGTGCAGCCAATGATGCAACTATTGACAAAGTAATAATCTTGTCCATCATATCTATCATCAGCATAGTTTCACAAAATGAGGTGGGAAGCACTTTCACTCCTTGTGCCCAAGCAGTGAAAAATAACAAAACCTATTCACAAATTTCGAAGGAACAGGCTACCCAATTGATCTGGTCCACTATCATCTCAGAGTTAAGATGCAGGCCTGGGGCTAGTAATCACTCTTTAAACCATTAACAGTCACTTACCACATTTGTGTTGGTTGTTGTGATCTAAGCAGGTATGAGGTGTAAGGGCAAATGTCCTTTAGTGATGTTCTTTGACACATGGAGAACATGGAGGTGTTAAATGCATTCAGAAATTCTGGTGAGGCCTGTATTGGCACTACCCAGGAGCCCAACTAACGAAATCCAACAGCTTTGTGGCAACCCACCTTAAAATGGTCTTCACAGCAGTGCCATCTACCCCTAGAAGTAAGATCTGCAGCATCTGACCTCCTAGCGGCCCTGGCCCATCTCCTTCGAATCTCGAGGTCGCGCGGTACAGCAAAAAACCTCTTATGTGGGGTGCTCACTAACGAATTGGTGCAATCTGGCACAAAACAAGTCCTTGTTGGCTTGCGAATGCGCACCACTCGAGACATGTTAACCCACAACGAATGTATTATTCCTAAACCTTTCCACGACGAACCCCCTCAAACCATCAACTGTTTACTACGTGCAATGCTGTGTAATACGGCGCCGTATGAGTATCTGAAATGGTCATACCGAAACTTGCTGACGACGAAAACGGGCTCTACTCTAGAGAAATTTGTGACAAGAAATATCTCTAGAAATGCTACATTTAAACGGCAGTGATTGAATATACCAAAAGTTGGCCCATATTCGGCCCAAATTCGGCCCAGCTGGTTACATGCATGGGAACATACATGTGTAATGCAACTGGACATTGCGGAGCGTCTAGATTGTTTCGAGAGTGTGGTTAACGCGTCTGCGTTGACCGTTGCGCGTCTTGGGAACCAGAAGTAGGGGGTCCCCCGCAGTGCCCGCTCTTCCTACCAGGGTGGCAGGCAATACCATATAGCCTCAGCAGCTGAGTGCATGTAAAGCTCATTGACACACGCACACAGACACACGTTTACGTATACGCACACGCACATACATCGATCGCTTCGAATTTTGGTGTGCGTGACAAGCTGATACCGAAAATCACTGCATGCTGAGGTAGGATTTTACGGAGCTTGCAAATTGTAAGACATAAAACATGCCAGTTTGATGGCGTGGGACGTCGTGATTCCTTTAACAGTTGGTGTGTAGGGCTTTTTCATCATGCAGATCCCGAAAGTTATAGGTTTTGAGGCTGGATGTGCGTGCCTTCCGAGTTAAAAGGCGCGGAACGTGCCAGTTTGGTATTGAGGGGCATGTCGATCGCCCTAAAATGTGTTGTACAGGGCTGCTCAGCAGGTTGATTCTGAAAGTCATAGGTATGGTTATTAAAAATGGGATCGGCACTTAACGTGTCGATTGAATTTCATGATTTCAACATTCCAACAATGTTCAGCTCAGTTTGGAAATTTGACAGACGGGGCAGAAATCTTTGAATTTTACTGACAGCTTATATTGTGCCGTAAATTCCTATACCTTTCATCTTATTTGATACCACTCGTCTTTAAAATGATTCCATTCTGGAAAATGAACAGGGTAGAGCACCCTAGAAGAAACCTCCCCCAGAAACACGGGAAGTACAGTTTCCATGATGAATGGCATGAGTAGAAATGACATTGATGTTGCTGCCGTAAAGAGAGCCTGAGATGCTCATCACTTTTCAAGTTACGACTCGTTGTCACTCACCATCCGAGTAAGCTGCCGCCGTCGACCCCACTGACAGCTGAACTTAGCGGACATCAATGCGAATTGTGGACGTCTTCACGGAGACCTGCGATGCACGTTACTTACCCATGAACATTTTGTTTTGCTTTATTTAATTCGTGTGAGAGAGTGCAGCGAGGTGAGTAGTGAGTAGATGTTACGGGCTGCGGTGAGTAGTTATTGTACCTTAAAAATTATGATTTTTTGACATTCTGATTTTTTGGGAGCATTTTGGACGGACAGCTGACCCATCCTTGGACTTCGGATTGGACTGTGGGTAATTATTTCTAGAAAACGGTGCCTCTGGTAAGCACAGCTAGCCCCAGCACCACACAAATGCCAAATGACCACACTCGTTGCCGCTGATTTGGACTCTTATGACATTACTGAAGTAAGTCCATACAGAAACGCTGAATGATCTGGAACTTGAAACAAGTGTGAAAATGGGTTATCTTCAAATCGCAGATGTGCGAAGTGTGTGTTACATTACAAAAGCACCACACGATCCTTTTGGTTGAATTTCATTTTCGGCACATGTAAATGAACATATCAAACAATGATTGTATGTGAGTTAGAAGTAGTGGACGGCTATGATGAGCCCCGTGCGTTAAGATCTGGTCGCCTACTCCCGGGCGGTGCGGCCGACCTGGACGGCCGGCCGCGGACGGGCGACGAGATCGTCTCGGAGGACGGCCAGCTAGTGGTCGGCTCTTCCCACCACCACGCCGTCCATCTGGTCAACCAGGCGGCCAGCAACGGCCGGGTCCAGGTCAGCGGTCGACGGCGGAGCGGGCCTACCCTCAGCGCAGGGCTCCCATGGACACGGCGTCCCCAGGGGAGCGGGCCTGCCCTCAGCGCAGAGCCCCCATGGACACGGTGTCCCCAGCGGAGCGGACCTGCCCTCAGCACAGGGCTTTCATGGACACGGTGTTTAGCACGCCGCCACCTGTTCCAGACAATGCGTGTGGACTGTGGGTGCCACTGGCTGATTGTGAGATGCACAAATATCTCACACAGGCTCCTCATGGAACTAGTGCCTGATATCCTAGGCTATCACCTTTTAATAAGAGTTGATCAATTTACATTATCATATTCGTAGCGAGATGCCTGTTTCCTTAGCGTACATTTAGTCCCCTGGCGTTCCTCAGACCGATGTGTTTATTGATGTCCATCATCATATTTCGAAGTGAGATGCATTGTTACTAGGTGCGCATTCAGTTCCCTGAGCACCTCCGACTGACTAAGGCCCCCTCCCCCGTCGGCAGCTGAACTAATGCCCCCTCCCCCGTCGGCAGCTGAACGTGCGTCGTTTGCTGTCGCCGCCGGGCCGGCCCACCTCACCTTCCCGCGCCAAATGGCCGTCACGCGCCGCCAGGGCGAGGGCCTCGGCTTCGGCTTCGTCATCATCTCGTCGGCCGGCCGCTCGGGCGCCACCATCGGCCGCGCGCTGGAGGGCAGCCCGGCAGACCGCTGCGGCCATCTCCCCGTCGGCGACCGCGTGCTGGCCGTGCACGATACGCCCATAGCGGGCATGCACCACGACCAGGTGGTGGCGTTGATCAAAGACGGCGGCTACCGTGTGACGCTGGGGCCGCCGACTGACGACTCGCCCAGCAACACCTCCATGCCGCAGAAGGCGGGCGGCGGCGCACCGACCGCCTGGAGATGGGCGGTATGCGCGACGCTCCAGCTGCGTGGGGAGGACGGCGCCGGGCGCTGTCTTGTTATGAGCCGCTGGGCAATGTAAAGGGTCTGGTCTTACCACGTCACGCTCTGCGTCTTCTTTTCATACTGAAGTACCAATTATTATTTGTCACCTGGTGATAAGCGAAGTTTGAATGTGCCGTTTCTAACTCCTTTTTGATTGTTACGTTTTTTATGATTATCGAATGCTCCACAACGTATTTGCATGATATTCACCTAGTGATGAAGATTTGAAATTTTTAACAGCACTTTGACTGTTGAGACCCATTCGCGCTATACTGATGTGTGAGTGGTGTTATGTCAACCGTTAGCGGTCAGAGAGCAAAAAAGACCGTCTTGACAGCGATATCACCACTAGCCCAGGGGGCAAGTTGCCCAACCCTGCTGACCAGCTTGGGACAGCTGACACCTTTCTCCTGTGCCGAGCCGTGGTTCTCGAGTGTCCAGGACGAGGAGTACATGATTGGGGACGGGTCGGCTGGCGAGTACGACCTTCACGCCATGCAGTTCCGGCGAGGCCCGCGTGGGCTCGGCTTCTCGATCCGAAGCGCGGGGTCGGCGGCAATCGGCGCCCGGCGCCGCACGCCGTGCCGTCGGTTACCAGGTGCCCGGGCCCCTGACCACCGGTGCATCGCCGCCGCCGCCCGGCTGGCTCGCGTGGTGCGGCGTCTCCGCCACGGTCAGCAGCTGCGGGGCTGATGTGGCCGGCCGGCAGCTTGGGCATGGCGCCAGAAGCACCTCGCGCCGCTCCACCAGCGTTGCCAGCGGCCTGGAGCGATAAAACAGACAGAGTCATCGTCCTCATCTCCAGGCTCCAGCGGTGAGGCAGGATGGGTATGGCCACCAGGGGTATCTTGTCAGGCTGGGTCAAGACGAGCAAACAACGGCAGTGGCTACTTCTCTCCACCGGCCGCAAGGCCGGAAACGCGCGAATAAATGCTGATTGGAATGAGAAAAATGCCGCTGGACCTCACCACCATGCTAACAAAACCACATACCACACGGTAATCACACACATCTCTCGAACTGCCCTTCTCCAGTGAACAGATAAAGACAGGCCCAACATGAATTCCAGGACGCATATTCCAGAGCACATTGAACCCTGGCTTCGCAAACACGCATCAACAAGCAATGCATATGGCTCTTCCCTTCCAGTAACTCTAATATCACATTTTGCACCAGTGATTTTGTTTGCGCGTCAGCAGAAGTGAGCTACATTCAAAACTAGATACACAAAGATAAAGCGCTTTTTCTCCCTGAAAAGAGGAGGCATATGTCAGACCGTCTGACCCGGCATTGTCCCGCGACCTCCTGAAGGGGCTGGCCTCCCCGTCGCCGAGGTCGGCAGCCTGGTGGATTCAGTTTGGGGGCCAGCGGAATAACGTTTACAACTATGAACAATCAAATTCGTATTCGGGCACTACTCCGAGATAAGCATTGGGTTTGAGTAGTAACCCGCATATGCACCTGTACCCCCCCCCCCCCCCCCACCCCCACCCCCCAGCTACCAAATTTAGGGCGTGTATTAATGCGCACGAAACAAAATGTTAAAAGTTTAAAACAGCATGTGCGTCCGCAAACGAGAAGATCGAGAGCGTGCAGCATGGTTTTTAGATACGCGAGAATCTGCGGGCGCACTTAACATGGTTTTCAGTGAGCCTGTTTGAGTTGTGTGCCCTGGTGAAATGTCGGCCGCGTCTCTGCACAAGCGTCAGATATTTCGCGGCCGCGGTGTGGGCGTCGCCCCGCGGTGCGGAATCGCGGGACGGGTCTTGGCCGACGTTTTACCTGAGTGGCGCGGCATGGCACCATTGGGGGTAAGGTCGGATGCCTGGCCCCAGACAACGATCACGTTGCCTGTGGGTGCGTCGGAGCTGGAGCCGAGGCCCGGCGGCCGGGCGGCCGGGAATGCTAGCCAGGCGACAGGGAGTGCCACATCAGGAGCCCCATCTGCGCCAGCTGGGTTATGCGCATGCGTAAAGGGGGTAAACAGCCACACCCAAGTCAGCCACTGTGCGGATTATCGAGATCGGCCTCTCGAGCGCTGCGTTCTCTGGCTTTAGCGGGACGTGAACTGTGTCTGTGACTAATTGTGCTCACTTTGGGACGCTGCAACCATTCAAGATGGATCATT